GGCACCTATTCTTTGTGTACACTAAAGTAACTACGGCTTCAGCCCAATACTCATGCGTAAGAAGTTGTACATGAAGCATACTCCTTGGCATCTCCACAATAGTGCAATTTGCTCTTTCAACAACTCCATTTTGTTGTAGAATGTAAGGAGTAGAGGTTGGTCTTGTAACACCTTGATCTTTCAAGAATTCATCAAAATGCTTTGACATATATTCATCTCCATTTTCTGTACACAATACTTTGATCTTGCACTCACATTTTTTCTCTACAAGAGCTTTAAACTCCTTAAATCTTGAAAAGTACTCACTCTTAGCTTTAATGATGTAAATCCACACTTTTCTTAAAAAATCATCAATGAATGTGACAAAGTACTTTGCTCCTCCCTGATGGTGTCTTCATTGGTCTACAAATATCAAAATGCACAATCTCCAATAATTTGATTGCACGTATTGCAACTCTATTTGGAAATAAATTTCTTTATTATTTGCATTGTATACAACCTTCACAAGTAAGTGTCATGGCATTGTGGCTGAAAGGACTAAGATCTAAGCCATTTACCATGGATTAAAGCTCTTTCATGCATTTGGCATTTAAATGACCAAGTCGTTGATGCCAGATTCCAAACTTGTCTTGGTCTTGTGGAAAATCAGCAAATGCAGCTACTTCAACTCCATTCACCTTCTTACAATTGATGAAGTAGAGATTTCCATTTCTAAGGCCTTTGGCAACATGTTGTCCACCCATTGTCTTCACAAAGCATCCATTCATGTCAAATTGAACCTTACAACCATGTGATATAAGTTTTTTCACCAAAAAGAGGTTCTTTTTTATCTTTGGCACATGTATGACTTCTTTCAATCTGATCCTCTTGATTTGGTCCTTCACAATAATCTCCACAACAATTGAGCCAATTTCAATGGCTTGTACCATGCCGTTGTCTCTCAACCAAACTTTACTTGCTGAAATTTCTTCATAAGTTTTAAATAAATACTTATATGGTGTTATGTGTTTAGTAGCATTTGAATCTATAATCCACTTAGACATCGCAGCCATAGAGGCTCTTTTACTTGCCATAAAAGCATAGTCATTTTTACCAAAGTTATCACAAACACTGTTTGTATTCTCTCTATCTCTTTTCATGATTTTGTAGCAATTCCTAGCAAAGTGACTTGATTTCTATAAATATAGCAATTTTTCATTTTATTCTTTGAACTATCATGATAGTGAAAATAGCTATCTTTGCCTTCTTTTGAGAATAGAACCGAATCCTTATTTTGATGCTCTTTTTCTTTTCTCTTAGTTACTTCATGGGTAAGTCTTGACATGACATAGTTCATAGTAAGTTCCTTCATGTTGATTGACTCTAATGCCACAATGAGGTAGTTTTAGGATTCGAGAAGGCTCATGAATAATGTCAATACAATTTTTCTATCATCAACTAGTGTGTCAATAATTGCTAGTTGATTTGGAAGTACTTTTACCTTGTTGACATGAGCCATGAGGTCATCTCTTTCTTCCATCTTTACTGTTAAGAACTTCCTTCTTATCTATATAATATTAATAAGGTTTCTACTCTTATAGATATTACAAAGAGTCTTCCATGCTTCCACTGGTCCAGTACAAGCAATTATATGTAAAAAGTTGGCATCATTAAGATTTGTTACAATCATTCCAAAAGCCTTCCTTTCACATCGTTTGTATTCCTTCTTCATTTTCATATCAGCATCGTCACTTAGAAGGTCTTCACTTTCATCAACAATGTCCCAAAGATTTAATGAAGGCAACAAGAGCTCCATTTTTTTCTTCCAATGGTAGAAGTTGTCACTCCTAAATTTCTCAATTACTCTCAAACCCTCACCCTCACTTGCAGCCATGTCTAAAGAAGGGATGTATCAAAGAAAATCAAGAAAAAGAAAGAATGAACTCTCAAAATCAACAAAAAGATGTTGATGCCTTAGAAACCCAGAATGCCCTCTTAATGAATAAACTATTGTTTACACTCTTCAATCACTCTCAACTTTACTTATAAGACTTTTCACAAGTCTAATAACCTCTTGAATAAGCTTTGCCTCTCTTTAATCACCTCTCTTCTTTCACAAAATACTTCTAATTTCACAAAGCACCTCTTATCACAATAAGTGGATCTCTTAAGGAGATTAATACATAAAAGTACAAAGTTAGAACACCAATGATGAAACTGAGCAAAGAAACACAACATAAGTATCTTTAAACATCAATCTAAGGTATCTAACAACCTCCAAGATTATAAATGCACTTAACAACAAGTAAGAGCATAACTACATCAACAAGTAGATGCAAAAAGAGATTTAGAAGATACCAAATCCTAACATCAGTAACAACCATAAGATCTACTCTTAACACCAACAAAGACTTCAAAGAACTTCAAAACTCAGAACTAAAGGTATGTGGGCCCATAATCTATTAAAGAACAAGCACTTTGAAGTCACAACACTTAGTATCAGTAAGGTTGCACACAAAAGGAAGTATGGAATAAAATAACTCTTATTTCATACACTTGTTACTTATAAGTGGTGGTTGCCAACCAACAAGACAACTTCCATCAACGTTACATCCATTTCTACTTCATCCAATTAAACCCTAGGTTCTTTCTTAACTTAGCCGCCACCTACAAATCCTAGAAGCCACCATAGTAACTTCCTTATATTCTTTGCTACCTTTTGACTACTAACAACTTACCTAAGGTAATATCTTTTATTAAGTGACTTACTTCAACAACGTCATCTGATGTACCACAGTCCCACTTTGCACAATGTTAGCTTTGAGTGGATAAAAGCAAAGTTAATGGTGGATATTAGAATTCCTTCATGCTCTCTAGATGTCAAAACTTCATTGAGGGGAATTTTTTAAGTTTTGAGCTTTGTTATTAAATTTCTCAATTCATCTGGGCTTTCTAGAATACAAATATATTCATACATGTAAAAAAAGAAAAAAATTCTTCCAAATCTCTTTTATAGTAGTAGATGTATATTTTTGATAATATTATAATTTATATAAAATCTTTAGTTATAATTTGTATATTTTCTTATATTTAGATGTGTGCAATGTTTCAATACATGCTTGTATAAAGACAAGAATAATAGATTGTATTTATTTTTTTACAACAAAATAAAAATTAAGATAGTTTAATTTTTTGTGCATTTTTTAAAAACATAAAATTATTAGAATTTCTAGTTTTTATTTCAAAAAATTTAAAGGTGTATAAGTTTTATAGATTTTTTAAAAATATAATATTTTTTTTTCTAATTTTTATATAAATTCTTTTTATACATTACAAATCTAATTGTTTAAAATAGAATGACAATAAGTAGATAAGATGTTATATTTTTTTATTAACTAGTTATTATATGTGTTGAATTACAAAAAATGATGTATTTAGCCTTGACTTGAAAGGATTTAATAAATCAAGTAGAAGATAGAGTATTAAGAAAAATTATACTAGATTTTTTCTTAAAGATAATTTTGTGACTATGGATATATAAAAAATATCATTGCAAATTGTAGAGAATTAAATATATAAGAAACTCATGATTTCTATAGAATATTTATGTTAAGTTATCATTGATTATTATTGCTTACAATCCAAAAGAAAATGTAATAAGTTTAGAAGGAATAGATGTTATGTTGTAAACAAGTTTAAAAAAAATAGATGAATATAACAAGTTTAGAAGGAATAGATATTATGTTATAATATGGCTTTTAGATAAATTATATATATATATATATATATATATAATTATTTTATAAAAGAGCATGATTAAAAAATAGTAAAATATTACTTTAAAAAATATATAAATAATAGATAAAGAAATAGTATAGAATTTAATAACAATTTTATATTTTTATTATATATATATATATATAATATTTTTTAGGGCCATAAACAAGAAAAAATAAGATAGATTAGAAAAAATAATATTATATGCATCTTTAGGTAATAATAAAGAGTATCTTTCAATAAAAATTATATGAAAAATCTTTAGGCTAATACTTGAAAAGGACTAGTTGTGAAAAGGGATTGAAATAAGATCTTGAGATATAAAACAATGCATCTATGGCAATTTTGGAATTTTTTTGTTGATTAAAAAGTGAGATAGGAAAAGAAAAAGATAATGTTTCTTTGAGCATTGGTTTTAAAATATTTTAATGAAAAATGGCTTTGTGAAATCTTTGCAAAGTTAAAATTATTATAGATCACTGTAGATTTTGTGAAATAAAAAAGATTTATATTTTAGATGATTTTGTGAATTTTGTAATAGATCTATAAATGAAAATTTGTGGATATGTGAATATAATTATACTTGAAGTTTTTTGTAAATTTAAACTTCATAAAATTATGAAATAAATTTGTATTTAAATTCAAGTAGATTAAAATCTTGAAACTGGATTTTGAAAGCTAATATGGATTTCTATAATTTTAAGCAATCTAGATTGAAATTTTTTTTTGTAAAATAATATTTGAGTTAGTTTTTAATATTTTTTCAAAGTTTTAAAACAAGTAAAAAAAAAAAAAAAAAAAAATGTTCACCTTAAAAGATTGACATCAAGATTAAAAAATGAGATTGGTCAATGTCCAAGCCAATTAAGAGCTTTTCCTTTCAATTTATAAATTTAGATTTCTTCAAATTTAGTACCCTTATTGTTACTTAGTATATTGAAAATCAAAAATATTTTAAAGCAAGATCAATACTTAAATTAATAACTATTGATGTTTCTAAATATGCAATAAGATTTGATTAGCATTGTTTAAAATTAACTAAGATTTTATCAAAATTTCAATAGAATTTACTTAGAATATCTTAAGGATTTGATTAGAATTTTTTAAATTTTATTTGCAATTTGATTAGAAATCAATTTGAATTTATTTAGAATATCTTCAAGATTTACCTAAGATTTTGTTAGATTCAACTAGAATTTATTCAAGGTTTCTTTAACTCTATTTGTGGTTTCTTTAGAATTTCTTAAACTCCTTGAGGATTCGCTTGCGTTCTACTTTGGAGCCGCTCTTCAACTCCTGGCCAAAAACGTTGACCTTCTCCTTCATCATCTTGTAAGAGATATAATACCTGAATCAAAAAAGAATAACAAGATCTGATCACCGATGTCGGAAGGCCAGGAGTATGCAGGCTAGAAAAATGTATTGATACTCGGATAATTCAAGACAGGAAATGCACAATGTTCGATTACACTTATATTCTCAGCAATCCCTTGGTGATTTTGGGATGAAACGTTAATTCTAATTCCCTTAACAGCCTGTCAAACATGAATAAGATTTGTGCTTCAAAACACAAAAATTGTCTGTTGATGTAAGCCGTGGAATTGAACAAAAATTGAACTTACACTTCCCATGTTGGGACTCGTGCCTTCTGCAGCTTCTTTCCAAATCCTACCATTGCTGACCACCACATCAAAACGAAAAAGAACACTCAGATGTGACATAAATCATCTTCAAAGCAACTAATTAGTTTAATGTCAAGGATTGGGGTATGGGTGTCCAAGCAGCTATCATACACCCTGGCATTGATGATCACGAACAAAGTAACCATCAATTGGAAATACAGGAAAAATTTCAACATGAAAGCATTGATTTACACCTTATCACTTTTATAATCGTTCTTTGCAGTCAAGCTTGAAACAAACCTCGAAGAAGAACTCATACATTAGAGTACATTGAGTACCCTACAGAGGACCTCATTGACATTGGTAGCATATCTTCAAAATATTTTGTAACAGCATGTACAAAGGTTACATGAAGATAATCAATTAAGATATTATTAATGGTTATTTTCTACATAGTTCAATAACAGGTTGTATTTCGCAAAAAGAAAAAAAAAAGAAAAAGAAAAAAAAGAAACATTAAAAACAAACAAACACTTGTGAATCTTTTTTTATTGATTCCTTAAAAATAAAATAAAATAAACAAAAAATAAAAATGGAGTTTAATCAATTTATTAAATAATTCTTATAAAATCTACATAAAATTACTTCAAAAAAGATTTTAATTTGTATCAATAGAGGTTATCTATTCCAACTATAAAATATAAATCCTTATGCAATTCAATTTACTAGGTGATTTAGAAATAAATTGGTCTAAATTAATTTCTTATTAGTACTATAAGAATATGAAAGATGTTAAAATGACCCACTTATTTATTAAATTGATCCATCTTATTGTGAGAAACGAAGAAGAATTAGGAGGTTGGGATGAGAACTAGGAACAAAGGAGGGAAATATGAGCATTGGAATGATGAATGCTAGGAATGGAGGCAGTAGGGCCTAAGAACAAAAGAAGTTGAGATAAAAGCTATGATTGTAATGATGATTTTTTAAGATAATATTTTTTTAATGATGGTTACAATAGAGTGGATTGATTTTGTAAATAGATGGATCACTTAACATATTCCTAAATTTATACTAGTATGGATTAAAAATATTTGGATATACATAAAATTTACCTACAAATATAAATTGATTCTTAGGTACTTCTTTTAGGTCATTCTTACAATTATAAGATTTAGATAAAATTTTGAGAGATAGAATAGAATTGAATCTTAAGAATTTGTATTCTATTAAATTTAACATAATAAGATAATTTATTATAGTTAGTAATATATTTCTTTTATTTTTTTTCTTGTTATATAAATTGGCCTTTTAAAAGATACTTGTATAATCAAGACTATAATAAAGAATTTTTTATAAAATAAAATGATATATTTAATATACTTTATAGTAGTAAAGTCAATATATTGTTAATTTAAAGAAAAAAGAAGCATTAGAATTATTAATCCTAATTAAGCTAAAAAAAAATTTTAGCAAAAGAAGTCATGTATACTTTGTAATATAGATATGCCAAAATATAATAATTTCTTAGGTATAAACTAATATTTTTTAAAATAATTTCTATAAGAAAATTATATTTTAACTATAATTAAGCTCTTATTTTTAATAATAATTGGATCACATATATTTCTAAATTTAGAAAAAAATATTTTATTTGAAACTTAATACTATTATTCATATACTTTAAATCTCTCAAATTATTTTATGAAGTATAGAATAGATTCATGTGGTAGTATCTAAAATTTCCATTCATTGATTGTTACATTGATTTTGAAAAAACAACCATCTTGTATCCAATTTTTCTTTAAAGAATTAAAAAATTATTTAAAGATTATTTTTATGTTTTACCATTAAACAATAAAAAACTACTATTAAAATTTCATACATATAGTGGCTAATTTTGAAATATAATTTACTACTATTTTCTAAAACTATAGAAATTATTATTATATAACAAAGCTTTTTTATTTGAATTTTATAAATAGGTTTGGCTATACACATCATAAAATAATAAACCTTCCAAAATAGATTTCTAATCATATAATCAATATTTAGAGATAAAATAAGATTTTTGATTTACCTCCTTAAATATTCAAAATCAAAATTTATTACATTGGCACTTAATTTATAATGTTTTTTTATAAAAAATAATATTCAATATAAAACATTATCAATTTGATTTCTTTGAATTTAAGTTAAAACGTTTTTTAAAAATATATAAGAGATTTTTTAAATCAAAAATTTTAAAAAATAATGAAAAAATCAATCTTTTCTTTAGTTTAATTAATAAATCTCATGATTGCTTAATTCAATAAGAAATAATAATTTTTTAGCAAAAATCAGCAAAAGTATGGTATATCAAACGTCTTGTGCATTAAATTTAAGTACTATTAAGTAGAATTCTATTTTAGAATCAAACTTCTTGTTCAAATGACATGATCCATTAACCAAATCTTGTGCACTTAAAGAATCTATATTTAATTATTTCATGTGATGTAAAGGTGTAGTAGTAAATGCATGGAAAAAAAAATCATGTTTAAATATTGACATCCATTATTAAATGTACATGCTATACAATCTAAAAAATAACTTATATAAATTTTAAAAATACTTCTAAGCTTTTTTTATATGGAATTGGACTATATATATATATATATATATATATATATATTTATATATATATATTTATATATATATATTTATATATATATATTTATATATATTATAAGCTAATCTCTAGCTCTAAGAATTAGGAGCTTGGAATATCTTTTTACAGGAACAAACAATTTTTGCATGCTCTATCCTACCTTTGTTTAAGTGTCTTTGTTTTATTTAATTTTTTTGGCAAATCTTATGCTTGTAAATATATGTTTTGAAGAAAATGTGTTTTTTTAACTTTGAAGAAAAAATTATAGAGTGACCTCTATAATAGGCGTTGATCTAATTTGGTTTAGTATAAGATAGCCAAATAATTTGAAGAGAGACTTGTAAGAAGATGGAAAAACAACCAAAAAACAAGACTACATTTTTAAAGAATTGAAATAAATTATTATAAAAATTCTACTTAAAGAATCTTTTGATCTGATAATTAAATAGGATTTTGTACTGCTTTAATGCAGCCTGATATTCTATAAAAAAAACTAAAAGAATAGAGTAATATATATATATATATATATATATGTATATGATTTGATTATATCACACTGATTTGAACAATTAGTTTTTAGATGTAGGTTTTCTTTTGTATGCAACTTTTTTTCATTAAAACTTAAAAACAAAAAAAAAATAATAATAAAAATAATACAAAAAAAAAATTATGAAAGAATAAGCAAGCAATGGTGTAGCTTTTTGTTTAATTCACTGAATAAAAATAAATGGAAAAAATAAGATATTTTTCTATGTGAAAGCTTGTATTGATAAATAATTTAGAAGGTTAGGATATAAAAAACCAAGTGGTATTAATATTATTAAATCTGACTACATGTGGTATTTAGAATGCTATAAAATATAAATGTTAACATGATGGTATGTTTTGTGTGTTACATCATCAGAAAATGCTGCAATAAAAAAAAGTTGATCTTTACTTATTATAACTAATATACTTTGAAAATTTACAAGGTTTAATTTGTCTATATCAAATGTGTTGTTATGATACACTTGCACTATTGTACTACACATACTCTTTCTTTAATATAAGGCATCATTATACTTCTTCTTCTTCTTTTCTTTTTTCTTTTTTACATAAAAAAATAAAAAAATTATTAAGATAAAATCAACTTGTATTATTTATAGTGTTATAACCTTGATTGTTTAAAATTGTGAGATAAGTGAAAATTTTAAATACAATTGTTTTGAAGCTAGATTTTAAATCTATTGCCTTAAACTTTATATTTGAAAAATTCTTGTAAAACAAATAACCTATATTTCTTTCTATTATTGAAACTTTGCTAACATTCTATGCAATACAACTCTTGATGTATAATGCCTTAAGTATGGTATCCTATATACCAAAGTCTAATCACAAGTTTTTCTAACAACTCTACTAATGCAAGTTGTCTTGAACCATTAAAATTAAGGATTTAGCACAAATTGATTTATGAACTATACCTCAAAAAGATATCTCCTTCTTTTCTTTTTATGAAACTCAAAATTTATGTTGACAATGTTTTGATCTAGTCTTTCAAAAGTCTATTCATCAACAATAGCAAATGTAGAATATTCTTGCCACGTACTTCTTCAAACCACACATTGCATTGTACCTCCCCAGATTTTCCTTCCCTACATCTACTCTAACACTACAGATTCTTCAAGAGATTGCATGATTTGTTATTCACATAAAAGCCCTTGTCGAGTCTTTTAACTCTCGAGGTATGCCGCATGTCGCACGCCGAATTCATTTTTGAAGGCTTCGAACAAAGCACGCAAATTAAAGGTCATTGTTTGATAAACTTGCATGTGGGTGGGCATCCCTACAGGGAGGTAAGAAGACATCTTTATCAAGCATTGGTACATTGTAAACAATTCTCAAGTTGAACGGAAAAGCAGAAGATTCTGAGGACGTCAGCGAAAACCTTGACAGGAGTTCCGCAAAAGAAAGCACAGAAGCCATAGCCAAGGGTGAGAAGGTGGAAGAGGTGGTCCGACGTAGAAACTGGTGCATTTGCTGGCGAAACAAGTGCTTTGGAGAGTCCTCAGCAAGACGATGCTAGTGACGTACTGGTCGAGTTTATGAACTCAAGTCCTCTACATATAAATGCCTCACCTGTCGAGAATGAGCAGAGTTCAGATGGTACTTTGGATGTTCAACAATGTGAACCAAGGGTCATTCCAGTGGAGGGTCCGAAGCTCACCAATGCCACAAACCTGGAAAGTAGATGTTGGTACTCTCTATCTTAATATACCCATACCCTAGACCCTAAACATTGGTGGCATACACAAGCTACTGGTGTCTGTTCATAAAATACTCTGATGTGATAACAATGAGGGTTACGTGAAGTGCATGCCTTGTGTTGTTTTTCTGGTTCAGGAAGTGACCCTCGTAAATAGTATGGTGGTTCTGATTTCTAAATCAGTTTTTTGCTTTCTGAAAGAGATGTCTATCCCATTTCTTACGCCTCTCCAACGAACTACTTTCATGCATGTACTGCGGAGGTCTGTGACTTGTTTTAAGGTAGCTGGGTTCCTGGCACATGTCTACCGCAATGTACCGACTGTGCTTGCAAATTTATTCAACACAAGAATTCCTTGACAAATGGATGGTCTCATGGGAGGTAACTATTCTGGAGGTGGCAACCAGACCAATGTCACTTGCTTAAAACTGATGCATAGCTTTTAAAATTGCTACACGTGAGCGCCACTTGACATTTGCAGGTGATTCAATTGCTTGCAATCAGTTTCCATTCCTTTCTTTGTCTTTTATCAAACGTAGTTATTCTACAGTCTATTGTGTACTCTGCATGAATTTGCATCGTGGCCATTAACACGATATCTTTGAAACCAAGAATCCATATGTCTTCTTCAGTTCTGCATGTGTTCTTAAGATTTTTATTTTATTTTACGAAAATATTTGCCTGATTTGTGGACCCTAAACCTGATCCCTAGACCTTTTTATAGAAGTTACTGCTTCTTACGGTTCACAAAGCATGTAAATTAATTTGCAGGGGCGTAAAATCAATGACAGGTGTCAACGTTGCTATACTTTAGCTTTTGAAGCATTCAACAAGCCTGAGAGGAATCATGGGACCCATCTGATCTTGACAAAGCAATCACAACAGTGAAGGATTCGGATCAGGGCCTGCAACCCAGGGCCTGCGATCTACAGAGCACAGCCAAGTGGAACGGTAGAAGGGTGACACTTGTTATGGAGTCCTAGCAAGTGCAGGAATCGTGGTGGAGCCAGGGAGATCAGGGTGCCCCACATCAGGATCTCCGAGGGGCCGATTCTCTTCCCTTTCCTTCATGGCAGCTGGAATCATCCTTCGCAGCCGGCAGTCACCGAGGGAGATGTGAAACAGAAACAGAAGAAGAAGAAGAAGAAGAAGAAGAAGCAGCAGCAGCAGCAGGAGAAAAAGAAGTAGAAGAAGGAGAAGAAGAAGAAGAAGGGAGGAGTGGTGATGAGTCGCTGCTGTTGATGGGACTGAGGTTATAAGTTTGTGTAATGAGAGAGAGAGAGATAGAGATGCAGAGGTCGAAATGCTTCACTGTGTCTGGTTTGTTCTGACAATTCTGCGAATCAGACTCGAGAAGGGGAGCAGATTAAGTCGTAATCTACAGGTGGGTCGCTCTTTGCTGCTGTCGCCATGCTTAGGTGGGTTTGTTGGCACTTTCTTTGCTAGAGAGAGAAACTGGTGTTTTTGTGATGGTGGTTTTCGATCTTGCTTGGGAAGGGTCCGGCTGCTTTTGCATTCAACTGATTGGTGGTGGGACTTGGTTGGTGGTTTGAAGTGGTGGTGGTGTGGTTGTTGTTGTTTTCTTTCTTCTTTTTTTTCTGTTTTTTCCTTTTTGTGTGCGGTTGTTTTACGGGCGTTGTTTTGAAGATACTTGACGATTTGTGGAACCTCATTACTTTGTTGGTAATGTGAAAGACATGTACTGTTGATTTTATTTTCATCTGCTCTGCTTTTTCCGCGTTGTTTGGCTTGAATTGAGTAATTGCCGCTGGAGGGACGTCTGGCTTTGAATAATATGGGAAAGTCCAGTCGTAATGCTCCTTTAAGCGTTAGAATCTCATCCAAAGAATTTGGAGTTTTGAACCTCTTTATGTTGGGTTTTGAAAACTCGGATCATGATGTGAAATATTTCAGAAAATTTGTGCAATTCAAGGTCATCTTGGATCTCAACCTGTGGTGATAAAATGAGCAAGTTACGCACTTTTTACAAACTACTGGTGAAAAGATACTGGCTTGTTTTTGTACTAACGCTACCAATGTCAATGAGGTCCTCTGTAGGGTACTCAATGTACTCTAATGTATGAGTTCTTCTTCGAGGTTTGTTTCAAGCTTGACTGCAAAGAACGATTATAAAAGTGATAAGGTGTAAATCAATGCTTTCATGTTGAAATTTTTCCTGTATTTCCAATTGATGGTTACTTTGTTCGTGATCATCAATGCCAGGGTGTATGATAGCTGCTTGGACACCCATACCCCAATCCTTGACATTAAACTAATTAGTTGCTTTGAAGATGATTTATGTCACATCTGAGTGTTCTTTTTCGTTTTGATGTGGTGGTCAGCAATGGTAGGATTTGGAAAGAAGCTGCAGAAGGCACGAGTCCCAACATGGGAAGTGTAAGTTCAATTTTTGTTCAATTCCACGGCTTACATCAACAGACAATTTTTGTGTTTTGAAGCACAAATCTTATTCATGTTTGACAGGCTGTTAAGGGAATTAGAATTAACGTTTCATCCCAAAATCACCAAGGGATTGCTGAGAATATAAGTGTAATCGAACATTGTGCATTTCCTGTCTTGAATTATCCGAGTATCAATACATTTTTCTAGCCTGCATACTCCTGGCCTTCCGACATCGGTGATCAGATCTTGTTATTCTTTTTTGATTCAGGTATTATATCTCTTACAAGATGATGAAGGAGAAGGTCAACGTTTTTGGCCAGGAGTTGAAGAGCGGCTCCAAAGTAGAACGCAAGCGAATCCTCAAGGAGTTTTCGGATATGCTAGATCGTCAGGTCTGTTGAACTAGGTTCCAAATTTCTTAAATGTCTACATGTAGTGATCTCAGGTTACCTGCGGTTGCTTACCACCATGAGTACCTCCTCTGCTTTCAGGTTGAGAAGATGGTTCTATTTTTGCTGATCAAGCAAGGGCAGCTAGCCCTCCAACTCTCAAAATTGGCAGATGAACGTGAAGCTGAAGATACCGAGCTTGAAGGCGCTAATGAAGCCGCGCGCATCAGCAGGCTGCGCGACGCTTACCATGCAGTTGGAGAGGACTTACTGGCACTTCTGCAATTTGTGGATTTAAATGCTACGGGGCTGCGTAAAATTCTGAAAAAATTCGACAAACGTGTTGGGTACCGCCTGAGTGACGAGTATGTCGCAACCCGCTCGAATCATCCTTTCTCTCAGCTCCAACACATCTTCCGCCATGTGGTTAGTGCATAAAGATTCCTCTGTTTCATTAGTCTTTCTGACAGTTTGAATGCTAGCTCCAGATTTTTTGTTGATACTAACCGCTCAAGCACGTTGACTGAATAGAATGCTAATTTGCCGTGTCCAGCACAGTCTTGTTTGACTTAGACAAATGATGGTACATTCATACTAAACCTCTCTGCCATACCTGTGTAGGGTATCGGATCGATGGTCGCTACAATCTCTCGGAATCTTGCTGAGCTTGAAAACAAAGGACAGCCTGTTACTTCCATATATGAGCAAAGGTCAAAATTAGGAATTCAAGTAAGCCGATTCTGTTATTTTTAGAGACTAGCAAATCATATCTCCCTGTTGTGGCTGTACGTGGGACTTGACACCCCCACAACAAGGTTGTAATGCTCACATGAAGTTATCATACAAGTATTGAATGTATGGGTTTGATATCGTCCTTTATGGAAAAGGTGATGCAAGAACCTCTCTCCCTTGATCCATTGTGCAGGATCCGATTATTGAGTCGATAAAAAGGGCAGAGGACAGACTCACTAATTCAGCTAGCTTTTTACGTTTCCTCGGTCAGCAATTCATTAATGAGGAAGAGGAATTGCCGGAAGAAGAAAAACGCGAAGAGGAAAATTATCATTTCGTGTCGCTTGTGCTTAACCTTGTGAACACGTACCTTTATATGGTGAGCTTAATAGCCTTATACAAACTAATCGATTTCGTTAAGTAAGCTGAGCTATAATGACGTGAAGTTTCAGACCTTTTCTTCACTACAAGTACTTGATGATTAATTGAAAATCTAAGAGAGCTCCTCCTGTCAGCTATATCCAGCATGACCATATAAAATTACAAGCTCACGATCCTTATTGTACTTAGACGTTTGCATCGATTTCACAGAGTCAGTTGTGTGTTGACAGTACTGTGTGATATTTAATAAACCTTTTTTTTATACTGTGGAGCACTACCATGTTGAACTTGATTGGAATGTCTGTTCAGGTAAACACATACATTATCGTCCCAACAGCGGACAAGTACGCTATGAGTTTGGGGGCTGCACCAACACTCTGTGGATTGATAATTGGCTCAATGGCCGTGGCTCAATTAGTTTCATCTGTTTACTTGAGTGCTTGGTCTAACAAGTCCTATTACGGACCCTTAATTTTCAGTAGCCTTATTCTTTGGATTGGGAATCTTCTCTATGCCGTTGCCTATAACTTCAACTCCGTCACCATTCTCCTCATTGGTCGCTTGTTATGTGGGTAAGACGATTACGACTAACATAAAAAAAATTGATCTTAGTAATATAATATATGATTTTTAGTTGACTTAATTTCTCTGTATGATTTGAGGAATTTGGTCCTTGCATCTCCTGACCTTTCGACCATAATACGATCTTTCATTGGAACTTTACTTCTGAACCATTACAGAACTGACTAATAAAGGGTTTGTGGTCAGGTTGGGATCAGCCAGAGCAGTCAACAGACGATACATCAGCGATTGTGTTCCTCAGAAATCTCGACTGCAAGCATCAGCTGCATTTGTGAGTGCAAGCGCATTAGGCATGGCCTCTGGCCCTGCGTTGGCAGGTCTGCTTGAGTTCAAGTACACAGCATTCGGGGTTACTTTTAATGCAAATACGTTGCCAGGATGGATTATGGCAGTTGCTTGGTTTCTCTACCTCATTTGGGTTGTCATTGGCTTCAAAGAGCCTTCCCACGAACATCTGATAGTTGATGAAGCCAGCTCGTCAGCATCTCAAGGTATGGCATGTTGGGGGAAAGCATTTCTTTACTAGCATATTGTTTGTCACTTCCAGGACCTCTTGTAATCTGACCTCAAAAGGTCAGCGATTTCATCATCCGAGTGAATTTTGATCGTTTAAGCTACGATCAAGTTCTTTTGCAGGTTATTGAACGTAATAGAAAAATTCATGTTAGTTAATGTCCAAAGTGATTAATAGGTAATGTTTTGTTGAATTTAACTTGATGATATTCACACCAGCTCACGTTTGAGTTTATTCCTTCGAGCTTTGTTTAACTTGTAGTTACTGGAGTAGCCATTTATTACCTCAGTAAAACATTTCTTGAAACTACAGACAATCAACTGGGAAAAAAAGAGAGCCAAAAGGGTACAGATCGACACGACGCCTTGGAACCACTTTTGTCTGTATCCTTAAAACCTTCCAACTTTAATGCTGAAAGAGCAGGTAATCAATCGTATACGAAAAGACTCACAATATTCTCATTTTGGAGAGATGCAGTTTGTTTCACATTCAGTCGAAAAGAAAAGAAAAGAAAATCGTATTTTGTCAATGTACTGTTGACCAAATTTTACTGATTTTTTTACTTGATTCCTGTAGACTTAAAATCGGACAGCAGCAATGATAAACAGTCCAAAAAACCAGCAACGTCTTTTCTGGAAGCTTCCAGATTACTTGCAAGACCTCTGAAGGTAAGAATACTTTTAATTATTTGCGCATATTGACCTTTTTCTTGGCGAAGGTAGACGCCGAAGAACGAAATGGGCTACCTCAGTTTCACATTCGGACTGGAATCAACCCACTAGCGCACAGAATGGTTAACACGAGTATGGGCATGTGCAACATTTGAAGTGCGGTCAAAATGCAATAGCTAGATGATTCAAAGATTTGAGTTCTCCTATATGATGTTGTGTCTGTCAAGTCTGAAGAACTGAACCGAATTGTTCTCTCGTCACTAATCGTCATTGAGATTTCTCATTTCAGGTCCAGCTTTATGTTTACTTCATGTTAAAATTCGCAATGGAGATTTTGTTGTCAGAATCCAGTGTTGTCACCCAGTACTATTTTGGCTGGGGTACGCGTTCCGTGGCCTTTTTCCTGGCTCTTCTAGGACTCACCGTCTTACCTGTCAACTGGGTGGTCGGGAGCTACGCGAGCAATATTTTCGAAGACCGGTACGACTCACTACTTTTTGTCAATTGCAAACCGATTAGATATATCTCCAGAACAATAGACGACAGTCTTCGCGGATGCATTAACGGTGAACTGATTTGAAGTGTTCTCTGGTATTGGAGGATTCTATTACTAAACTGAGGAGACCACACTGTTTTCTTGTATGCAGACAACTTCTTGTTGGTTCAGAAATTTTGACTTGCGTTGGCGTAATTATCAGCTTTGACTTCGGGATCCTGCCTTACTCTGTCACTCAATACGTGACTGGAGCCTTCATTTTGTTTGTGTCTGCCGAAGTTCTCGAAGGTAGGTCACATAAATGCACTTTGAGTGGCTCCCTAGCTATCAATGTATTATCAAAAATCTGAAGCTTTCTGTCAAGTTTCAAATGCTCGATGCCAATTCACTTTCCTGAAGTAGGACTTATGTTAAATTTCTTTGTTCTGATTGAGTTCTGATTTCCAGGAGTGAACTTGTCACTACTATCCAAAGTCATGTCGTCACGCTTGTCGCGAGGAACTTATAACGGGGGCCTCCTGTCAACGGAGGCAGGGACGTTAGCACGTGTTGTTGCTGATTGCGCCATCACTCTTACAGGATACCTTGGGCAAGACGTGCTTTTGAATGCTACGATGTTTCCCACCTTGATCATTTGTATCTTCGCCGTTGTGAGCACCATGTGGACCTACAACTCGTTGTTTTGAGCTCGTTAGAAGGTTCTGCAGGCCTAGCCGTCTCAACATAGCAGAAGCTGCGGTAACATTGTACACACTGGTATACCAACATTTACCATGTAAATTTTGGATCTCATTATTGTACAACGTCACGCAAACTTGGAGTTTACTTGGCAGACGTGCCTTCGTGGGTTTGAGCCATCTCTGTCAAAAGTTTCTCCAAAAGATGTTCTGAAAAACGTTTGATGCCACCAGTTGATTTCAAGAACTGGGTATTTATATACTTGTTTTGACAAAGCAAACTTCTCTCATAACTAATCCAGACAACCTGGAAATCATAAATCTAAAATCAGCCTTCATTTGTTCAATAACATATCCAGATAACACCCCCGACCACGACAAGAAGAACTGTTGCAATCCATTTCGAGTTTCTTGCAGCACGGTTTGTAAGTAGCAGCAAACGACTTTATCACTTTCGTGCCCTCCGTTGTTTGGTGATGAACAATGCAGATGAGCACTAGTTATCCACCTCTCTTGCATAAGTAGCACCTCACTACTTACCAACTTCATTGCCTTGGCAACACCAAATATTTCAAAACAAAACTGCCACCACACACGCCTAAAATCTTACATTCCCCGCAAAAGGAAGACTGTTTTGAAGCGGCGGAAGCAGTGATTGCTCTAACTAGTGCCATTCAAACATACTGGCTCATCCAGAATGTAACTTATACAGTATTGTTTGGCTCTAATCACCAGCTCGAAAACAGATCGTACTCACCAGAGCCAACCAGCCTCTCAAAACTTGAAAGTTGTCAAAGGAAAATATCTTGCAGACATTTCTACCAACAGTTGGAAATAGTTGACCCACCACGTCACAAGTACACAACGCATCAACTAATATCTACAAGAGAACTCTGAATTTGAACCTATTCAACAAGATGATCACCTCAATGCTTTCACCATTGAGACGATTGGTTGCCCTACATTATTAAGCAAGCTTATAACGTCACCCCTGAGAAAGAGAAAACGCTTCAAGTAGGGTACGGATGCATCACCAGCTGCAGAAAGATGTCCCATTTGCTTGCCCATGAACATCCCCTCTTCTTGAAAACAAAAGAGAATATAATCAACATCTAAAGATCTGGGTTGATCCTCGGATACGGCAAGTATTCTCGTCCGGTGGGTGTCCTCACAGTTTGACCTCCAGCATCAACAATTACAGCGCAGGCTGCGAGAGCTGCCGCTGCTCCAATACCCACAGGCAACTTCCCAGCTGCAAGTGCAATACCAATAATCAGCACAACACGAGTTAACTACAACATCAAAACAGGGGATTACTGCATATCAACCTGACTCTTTCACTACAGGATAATCCATGCGATGTCCACAACATGATAGGCCGGCAACAACCTTCAAAATAAGCCAGCTCGAAGAAAGACAAGCCATCCTGAAGACCACTCGTTACTGAATTCTAGCATTACATCATTGGATTGTAGATTATCATCTTAGAAAATGGGGCAATAGTCATCAGGTTCACAGTTGCACACTCTACACTCAGGACAGTTTATTCTGTTCACAAACGTTAGGTTCACCCCTACAGATCTGTATACCTCAGAGAAATCCAAGGCAGTACAAACAAATAGTACGCAATCAACCCTACATTAATTGGACTTGCTTACTCAGCATATAGACACGCAATTCCATTACCGTCCTAGTAGAATAAATTATCTATCAAGAATATGCTCAAAGATTTCGCAACCAATTCTACAGAAAGAAACTAGTTCTATGCGTGCAGTTCCATCTCTTCACCTGTTTTCCGACCAAAAATTCTAGTTCGATCGTTTAAAGGTGTGTTCATGACCGTGGCCATCTCCACCTCAAATACTACTATTTTCTCCAATCACCGAAAAGCCATCCTGTATTTGCGTCTAAGTCTATGATGATGTAAAGATACGAGACAGGAAGAGGGATTTAGGAGGAAGCCCAAAAAACAAAAAAACAAAAAAATTGTTTGACCAGCCTTGTCACGAACATCCCAAAAACTACAATAGATTGCATTACAAAGCATCCCTAATTAAAAGCACTTTCGGGTTTCTCGGAAGTAAAGTAGACAGCTAACTAACCTCGAAGACCGATAACACTCCCAGCGGCAGCTCCTCCCAATGCAGAGTTCCAGATATCCTTCTTGCCGCGGATCGATGCCGCCACCGCATCCGTAAACGCAAAGAGACCTCCAATTGCTGCAAAAGTCAACCCGTAGTTGCCCATAATCTTTCCAGTTTTCTTCAACGCTGGCAATGCAACGTTTCTCTCCACGGCTGGCACATCCTGCCATGTTGCCGTAATGGCGCCCAAAATCATGCCCACCAAACCACTCGACCCGGCCGCACTGGCCGTCCTGAACGCGACAGTGTCATACTCCCCTAGGTTTCGAAGCTCGTCTGGATCCATGCGGGCATACTTGTCGTCTTCCATGGCTCTACCAAACCTCACTCACCGCTACCCACCCCGCTTCCGGCAAACCTGTACCCACAAATCTCTCCCTCTCCCTAGTTAAGACTGATCTCGTCAGCCAATGATCCAAACAACCCAGAACCACCAGGACACAGAAAATTTCCAAACCCAAGTGACCATCTGTGGAATCGGAGCGACATTTAGGGTTACAATAGAAAAGGATGAACTATGGCCCACTTTGGATGAAAAGGAATACAGTGTGCCACACATGGAAGCCTTTCGCAAGCGCGATGATCTATGATTGTTTCTGTTTCGTGTCTATCACATTTCTTCGCAACAGAAAAGATGTGTTCATGTTTTCTGTTTAAGATCCACTACTATTTCACATTAAACGGGGTGGGTTCATTCCGCAATTCGCATTTCGTACTCTTATAGTACTATTTTCTTATCTTGAACACCGGGTTTTGAATGTTGGAAGACGTGGTTGGTTGGGGAATTCTACCGTCTGATTTTGTATTTGGAGTTGCTCACTGATTTTGTCATAGACCCCTTCTCCTCCTTTTTTTCCACTGCCCCTCCTAGACCTAGTACTCTGAATGTTCAGTGTGCGGATTTTGATTAATAGTTGTGAGTTCAGGTTTTCTGTCACTACTAGTTTCGGTAACATACACGAATCGCCGACCTAAGACCCCTGTCTCCAGTTGCCTTGTCTTGATTTATCAGCAATGTGGCGCCGCTCTTGATCATAAATGACGAACTCCATCTTAAGAAGAACTGTTTCTTGACGAGGTACAGAGTTTGACATTAGGTCTCATTTGGGTAGTATTATTTCTTTACGAAGCATAATGGTGAAGCTTATGTACGTGCGGCAAGAATCAATCTCTATCCTTAACTGATGCGAGTGCGAGTCACATTTGGGAACGTACTACTGACTAGTGGTTATCAAGAGTCCATGCTGCTGTGAGAGTTCCGTACCTCAACGAATGATCAGCCTGACTCTGCCTTCATGACCCAAAACCAAACAATCATCGCTTGTGACTGCTATTTTTGGTCTATCTTCGATGGTCATTTCATGCCTCCCACATCCCGTATCTCATCGTTTTTCTCTGAAGGTCTTCATTTCTACTATTTTCTCTATGACTGGTTAAATTCAACAGTGTAAGGTTTCAGAAAGTTGTTTTTCGTTGTCGGCGGTTGCAGCGAGGGTGCTGTCCTAGAGAGGACACGATTGTCCCATCTATGTTCCTTCAGGCGTTCTCGATTGCGTCTTTTTACCAGGAGTTGACTCTTCACCATACCCGTGTAAAACCGTTGCGCACACATCGAAATAACCATCGCCCTTGCGGACGACCATGAGTGAAGTCCCTATTCTCCTGCGGTGAAGACTGCCGGAGTATAAAAGTACTGCGACGAGCTGGACAAGTCACTCGAGCTGTGGTCACCTAGAAGTAGCGAAGCAGGCTGTCGCCATTTACGAACCTTAGCTTTGAGATGACAAAGCTCACTTCTCTAACCCCCGCCGCAATTCTTTGTTCTTCACAAGAACACGTTTCTCCCATCACTGCACCTCAGGAATTTCCATGCGCACGATAATTGTACACGATACTAACGTCATAACAGCTTCCACCCTTCATTAAGAGCTAAGACCTCGTTTCTATACTTGAAAAGCCACGAGAAGTCAGAATTTCAACTTCAAACCGAACCTGAGTGACTGAGCTTTACTGCAGCAAGGGTACAGGTTGGATTGGGACATTCGTTTCTAGATTCCAAAACGTAGAAGCTACTAACCAACAAATAACATTCAGAGTACACATTCAGAGTACTCAGGAGGATGGTAAAAAACAAGTGCAACGTCGCACTTTGTCATTAATTTGAGAGAATTTCGAGCGCATATTGCAGAAAGTATGTAACATGTGAATTGACTCCTTTTTCCCGTGCATTTTTTAAAGCCGGACACGTTGTACAATGAATGATAACTTTTAGGACACCACAGTCTGAAGACAAAGATTCATGTAAAATCTCGTTTGATTTAAAATTATTTCTTGAAAAAAGATGAACAAAAACCATCAAGAGCCCTCGGAGAAAAGGACGTTCTGCGGAAGATTGTAGGACGAACACGCAGTGAAAGAAACAAAGTAAACAACTCACAGCTATCCAATTCTCTTACAAAGAGTTCGTCCAATGATCGAAGAGTGACAGTGTCTTCAGCTCAAAGCTCCTCACGAGACAGAATACTTGGCGACATGGTTGGAAAACCTAGCGAGAAAAACCCTTGTGGAAGTTATGTTAAAGAACAGCGGCAGCTCAGACTGCGACCACAAGAAGCAAGTGCAGGCAACGGTTCTGACCCAATTGACGCAACTAACCCTCGACTCCAAAATTGCACATCAAATCACCCGCAAGCAAAGCCACCGCAAGTTCATGACACACGATCAAACTAAGAAGCGAAGCAAACCCTGCCACTTCTCCGTGCACGAGATGATTTAGTATATCGACCATGCATGATGCTGTGAGAATCCTTGTGCTGAAATGGCGAAGCCTGTTAAAGCCCAGCTGGTGAATTCACACACACAACAACTCGGTATCAGTTGAAAGCATGCACCCAGAGCTACCACTTCTGGCACCCCACACCTATCTCGTACATCCAGCAGCAGGACGAAATACATCGTTTTTGTCGCCGAATTCCACCCTATCGACTGACTCTAGTAAATCCTATGGAACTGTTCACCGAGGCCCCACAAAGAGGGATCTCCGCGTCAGGATGCCTACAATGAGGAAGAAGTGGAGAGGGAGATATTGACCTAGGTTGCTCTGGTTCTAAGAGGTGGAATGGTAGGTACCGCGTGCAATGAGTTCTTGCCTTGAGGATTAAAACAAGGTATTGATCTGACGGAAAGGTCCAAGTTAGATACAAGTTGATCTATGCTCCTGACGACTTTGCTGATGCACATATTAACAATAATGGCAGAGGAAATGGAAACGAATCCAAAAACAATTCTTCCCTAACAAGCTGATTCGGTTATCACCTTCTGTACCACCCTGGTGGCGAGCGGGTGACTCCTTCCGACCCATTGAATGACCCCATGATGCTTGTCCTCGCAAGATCCTCGCGGCTCTAGATTGAGTACGGGCACCGTTTGCATCGAGTTTTTGTTGATCTTTGCTGAAGCTGAGTGGGTTGAGGAGGAAGAATTCCAGCAGCAGGCCGCAGGAGGATGGTAGGGGGCTTCTACAGGGACTATTGGTTTTGAGTTGAGCGTTTCGTGTAGGTGCGGCGAAGACGAAGTCGCCGTGTCAAGAAAGGTGGCAAAGAATGTTTCTCTGTTCAGACATTAAGAGGTGAGTTGGTCTTTTAACTTGTTTGCACAAATGGGTTGATCTTGATTGCTGTACTGGTCGCGTAAGGTTAATGAATTTGCCTCGGTTTAGAATTTGGATGCGCTCAAAGCGATGTCACGCGAGTTCAGGACTGAATTGGACTTTCCACGAAGTTTGAAACTTTTCTTTCGCGCATGGTTCAAGTGAAGATTGTAGCTTAGAAGGGAATTGAGAGCGTGAGTAAGGGTGATATATGTTCAGTGGATTGGACATGATTACAGAGATTTGGCGGTAAAAGATTGCGGGATGAGAGCATGAAACTGATGACAGCGGGCAGGTTGACTGCGCGAGCTAGAGGCGAAAATAAAAACTCGGATTCTTCTCATTAACTTGAAAACTCTTTCTGCCTGACAATCTCGCGCCGTAGGTATTGTGCGAAGGAAGCCGAACTTTATGTTTATCCTCATAGCAACAAGAAGCCATCCCTGCAGTGTTAACCTCTTCAGCTTGCTACTCGTTGTGGTGAATTGGACAATGTCTTCAGATACATTCTACATAGCACATCCTGTTTGGATTATCGCATTATCCCTACACATTTCATCTTTTCAATTCAGAAGGGGAAGAATATTTTGTACTTAGTGAACATCATCGGTCAACTGAAGTGATTAGTTCTGGTGACGCTATGACGAAACGATGAATGTTGTGCTACAAGTTCACTGATTTTTGTGACATTCACAAGGCTGAGGACATTCAACTTCATTTGCGGAATGATCTGGTTATTGTGAGTGAAGGCTTGTTGCTGATTATATAATTTGCAGAGTGTAGAGATTGTGCTTCCCATCTTGTGCCAGAACTCATCTAATTGCTGCAGCGCTGTGCAGATCATACATGAAAATAGTTTCTCCCTTGAGAATACGTTGCTATTGAACGAAGGAGTGACAAGGAGGCGTCATTATTTAGGGTATATTTCGTGAGCTAGGAGAATCTGAGAAATGTGATAGGAGATCACTCATCTCCGATTTCCAATAATATAAAAATAGATAGGCTACGTGAAATAAAACGAGACATCCAGCATGGTCAGCATCAGGAAACGGCGGCATGGTGGACTTTCTCCAGGTACGAATTGCAACCAGAATGAATTGAGCAACTGGAGTAGAATCGTGAAACCTGATACCTAAGATGCCTAAACCTAAGACGGGAAGCCAAGAATTTTAATGTATTCTTCTGAGATTTGCATCTTAAATTAACAGAAGTTCTTCGCAGACAAAAAAAGTCAATCACAAGCTTACAGGAATTCTTCGTATCCTTTGCCAACTGCTATTCCGGCAGGCTCTTTGAACACCGACAAGGATTCATCACTCAAACAGGTATTCATGAAAGTGTGCAGCTATTTGTGAAGTCTACAAATATGAAAGGCTACATTCTTATGTCTAGATTAACACGTAACGGTTCCACTCATATGTGTCATTCGGTAGCAATGTTGAAGTTTGAAATGACCACTTTGGGTACAACTAATGCCAACATCTTCAAGCGTTCGAGATTGGTTTTGATGACGACGCCAACTCCTACAAAAAAACTGCAGTTACTAATCTCAACACATATTTTTAAATACTTCGTGTTGGAGATGATACCCTGCAGGAGGTGACCGTATCAAGATTTAGATTTGCAACCCTGCCAGCAATACCTTCCTTTCGGGAGCTGCATCAATTGTACAATCCAGTTTCTTTACCAAAAGGTTGTTTCCCTGAGCTACGTCTTTGCAGTCCTCAGAGCATATTGCTCAGCCTCTGAAGTACCATAACATGTTGAAGTCAAAGCATGCAATTGTACCATAGGTTTCAAACCTCGCAAAGTTCAGCAGCATTCTGCTGTCAAGTTTCCACTTCATGTCGTTGAAGCTCTGAAGTGCAATTTGCACTGTTTGATCAAGCAGAGAGAGAAGTGAAAAAGAGGAAACGGCAAAGGAGAAAACATCAGATGAACCAAGAATCGTGTGTCATGCGAGGTGTATACTTCAAGAACATGAAATGGCAAGCTGCCATAAAGGTCGAGAAGAAACAAGTCCATTTGGGCACTGTGAGCTCCCAGGAAGAGGCAGCGCGTCTGTACGACCGGTTAGAAATTCTCCCCGCTTGCAAATCCATCTCATCCTCATCAGTTCGTTTCCATACTATATCAGGTGATTATACAACTTCTATATGAAATTCCGATGTTAACATTGTAACGGCCGAGTACTTGGGTATGACAGAGCCGCTTACTTGTGTGGGAGAGAACCGAACTTCGAGTTGACTGAAGCAGAGAAGCAAGAGCTGCAACTTCTGCGATGGGAGGAGTTCCTGGAGCTAACTCGGCAATCAATCTTAAGCAAAAGTAAGTACAGGAAGATTTCTAGAAAGAACTTTACTTAGTCATCATTTTCGTATGAAGTAAAATTTAGGGTTCTTCCTGCTAATAGATGGTCTATTTGTTGGTTGTTCCAGAGCGGAAACGGGGCAATAAAAATTCGAGCGGAAAGACTACGCAAGCTGCTTCATCTCCCAAGGCCCTCATATGCTGATCCTAGTGTGGATTTCTGTAAATAAAACCACTGTGTTCATTGCAGCGTTTCGTGGCTGTCTTGCTTGGCTTGGGCACTTCAGAGTATATAAACCCGAGGTCTACGTAGAATGATCTCTTGAGACAAAAATCAGCTGTGGCTTTAGGTCCAGTTATGTACAATTCATGCACAGTAATAAAAATATAAAGTAGAAACAAGTGGGGCTTCATATCTGAAATCATACAGGAATCTCGTGTAGAATCTGAACAATTAAAGCAGTTTTTCCACAAGATTAATTCGGTCAGGATCATGGTGTGCAGAGAGGATTTTCTGCTTAGAATTGCAAGTGAGAGAATGGAAGTGACGCGATTACCCGCTCACTTGTGTACTTGGAAGTATCTTATGGAGGAATATCCCACGAAACCCATACTGCCCCTTATCTCAAAGATAATCAACTGAACAGAAGCTCATGGACTGAACATTAAGCTCGTACAGAAGTTGGGTTCATGAATATGCTACTATAATCAATATTGGCAGACAATTTGACATTATCATGTATGATATGCAATTCTAACAATGCAACAATTACTCGTAATTCTGTTTGCGTCTCTAAATACCCTTTCTTTTAAAGATATCCAGTTTATAACCGGTCATGTTTGCCGTGCGAAGCATGACATGGCAGGGTCCAAGTGGCAGCTAGTATGCAGCCTTCGCAATGCAAAAGGAAGCATCGCCCAAGAACGGCGCTGTTCTAGCCTACATGAGTTAATCACTTGATTCAAGTCCCTGCGGAACGATCTGACATTTGCGGGAAGGATTCGCTGAGTCTCTGGATTTCTTGCGAAGGTTGTTTCTGTCTTCAAGGTTGCTGTTCTACCGTGAATTTCTCGTTTAGTGGGATTTGTATCAATTGCGCGCTCTGATGACATGCATGTTTTTATGTTTCTTCCTGGCTTCGCGCAATTGCTCTGTTTGGAAGAGTTCTAATCGACCATGTTTGGTTCTGTGAGTGGGTAGCAGGTGATCTTGAAGCGGGAGGTGACGGACGAAGAAATTGGAGGGTTGAGTTTCGATTGTGGAGAGTCGGGCATTGCCATGAGTGAGAGCCATTCCCATGGATGCCATCCATCTGCACCGGAGGATGTGCCCGGCGGAGCCAAGACGCTCACTGCGAAAGCTGTAGATGCAGGAGCAGCCATGTTGCAGAGCCTGGAACCGATTAAAGCTTTCCAGCAGGTGAGTCCCGTTTTTGTTATTTTAAACTAAACGTTCTGTTCGATACTCGCCACTGTTTGTGGGTGATGCCTTTTCTCTGCTCTATAATTGGGTATGTTGTAGCAACCAAGGGTCGTACAATTTTAGTTGTGATTTACACATGAAAGCTTGTGACGATTTTTGGGGTATGGGTGTGAACACATTGAACAGCATGTTTGCACGTGGGCGATTTTCTCCCACGACATGAACCGCAAAATTCAGACACACCATCACGCTGCTCGCCTCAATGACGATTTCTTGCAGTGTGCTGTTTACGACTCCGATCAATCCAATGCTCGCTTGATCGGTACTGTCTCGACCCCTCTTAAGCATACTTTTCAGGGTACTTAGTTAATTATACTCAAAATTTGTTGTGATTCCTACGGGTTTCATTAGCTCCAAGTTAGTAAATCTGAAGCCATGGCTATTCCAGTTTTGACTCCGCTGTGGTCATTTAGTACTTCCTTGATCTTGATCACATCCACGAGTGTTTTGATTGGTCAGCCCAGAAGCTAAGGCCTTCCGCTATCTCTGAATAAATTACAGGGGTGGAGTATGTTGTATCGGAAAATGTATTCAAAGACCTGCCGCCAGAAGAGAAGAAGCTGTGGCATTCCCACGAGTTTGAAGTAAGTAGCTTCTTTGCGACCATGCAGTCATTGTGATTATAATTAAAGACGATGAAGTTTCCGTAAGCCAATCTGGTACACGAGCAGCCGGTAGTAATCAAAGCTCGTTATCGCACTCCAGATGCTCTCACTAATTGATGTGTGAACGGGGATGATAACAGATCAGAGAGGGGCTATGGGTGAATCCCGGCGTGCCCGAAACGGTGGAGAAGCAGGAGGTCAAGGGCTTGGCGCACACCTACGGAAAGTTTTGGTGCACTTGGCAATTCGATCGAGGTACACATCATCTCTAATACTTGTTGCTGAAGAAGACCAAAAATCAAATCATCCATTAAAACCTGAGTGAATTAAGGGTTAAAGGTTTCAAAAGTACTTTGTGACCAAAATTTGTTGATGAACCACAGGTGATGTGCTGCCCATGGGGATGCCGGCTCTTATGATGTCGCCCCAGGCGGAGGAGCCAGGCAGGATTCCCAACGACAGCGTTGATAAGCGAGATGCCATGTATGGAATTTCGTCTTCGTCACGGAAACACAATCGTGCAGACATTCCCAGAATGACGCTGGACCCCAACTCGGATCGCTGGAGAGCAACAGGCAAGGGCTTCGAAGTTGATCTGAAGGAGGTGGTCATGTCTATGGGCTGAGAGACATTCATTGTCTATTTCCATCTCTTTTGAGGAGTTCAGTTTTGAGAAACCTTGCAATTGGTTGGGCTCTTGGCAGATGTACATAGCCAGTTTAATATAATAAACCCCGTATAAAAAAAACATAGTTTTTGCTCTTTAGCAGGAAGAATCTGGCGTTCAATTTTGGGTCACTTTTTTGAACTGACATATGCATAAATGTTTTAACCGTGGGTGATATATACAGATGGTTTCAGTCTCAGTGGCAAGTTGGAGAATTTTTGTTGTTCTTAGCTGAAGCATGTGCTGTTTGAGTTTCTAAATTTTAATGGGATTTGAAGAAGTTATTGATTCGTAAATTCATGATGGAATTTGGTGGAGTGGGGGTGATTTGAAGTTGTAAGATAGTCTTCTGATCATATATTACACATAGATCTCAAACCTCATTTGTCATTTTTGTAGAGGATTGGCAGTGGTTTGACACCTAGTAACCCGACCCTCGTTGTCCAATTGAATCTTTGAATTGTGCTGTTAGCATGGAGACGAAGAGTTTCATTATTTGTTTTGCAAACATTATGTTTCATGTGGTTTGAAACAAAAGAAATAAATAAATAAAATAGTTCAAGCACATTATAAGTTTGTATACACATCGCTCACAACTGTTTGAGGAACAGATCACCACTTTAAAGTCTGTTAAAAGATCTATAAGGCAGTGCTTACATGGACAATGTGAGCAAGTATTGTACAAAACAATCATTTCAAGGTTTGAAAGTGTTGCAAGCTTTTGAAGGTGCTGCAAGCTTGGTTGTAGCTGCAAATTGGTGCATCATTAATTGGTTCATTACAACGTAGATACAAGATATAAATTTTATCTTTCAAAAATAATCAATTGTGAGAGATTTTTCTCAAAAATGAAACATGTCAAATAAGAAGTAAAAATAAAATAATATAAAATAATACACACACAACATCACCAAGTAATTATTATGTCCAAAAGCTAACACTTGTACAAAATTATTCAATATATCCATATTGAAAAATATCATTATAAAATCCTTATTATAGAGACTACAATATCATTGCAGAAATTGTTAAAAATTGATACATAAGTGGTATAATTTTTTGAAATATTCATGTTCATGAGTTTTGCCAAATGCTTCAAAAGAATTCCCAAATATTTCAAAAAACCATGAATACAAATATTTGAAAAATTCAACCAATCATATATAAGTTGGAATTTAGTTAAAAAGAGGATTGACTGAAATTAGTAGTCACCCTTTAACAGTTGGAATTCAGCCACTCGGGGAATTTCAAAAATAGATACACACATTATCTATTATAGATCCACATAAGAGCATAGATGGTGAAAATATGTTGATGAAAACAAAATTTGTATCAACTTGCCCTTCAAGCATTTCACTGTGAAGGTCTAAGATAGCCGACCCATTTTTGACTATCTCCATTTCCATCCTATGAGGTGGAGTATTTTTGCTAGGTTGGTGACTTGTTGTTGACTAGTTTTGACATTTTGTAGTTGGAAATAGGTCAAGGGTCTAATAAAAATGATATTAAAGTATGAGCACTAAAACAATTCATTGCTTTTAGAATTGGTATGCATGAATTGTCAAAAATCAATTTTTACATTAGTGGAGTTACACATATGTGGTAATTGATTATGTATCAGAAAATTAGAGAGTTGGAGTAGGATCATAGATAGAAGATGTGTGAGATATTGTTTGGAGATGAGTAGAAACAAGGAAGAATCGTGACAAAAATCCAACTCAAACATGGTGAATTACTTGCAGCCAAATATTTGAATATTTGTTGCTTCATCCATACATTTACATCCATAGGTGGCACGGAATTAGGTGAATTTTGGTAGCACTAATAGATGCCATAGATCATAGTTTTGTAAAAGTTGGATTCTTGGTTATGTAATCCACCACTAGTCGAAATCAAGTAGGCCTATATATCTAAAATGGGTCAAAAAGAATGATAAGCTAAAATATTTATATAAATTTTGTTTTTGGGCCAAATTGTGTGAAAACATAATTTCTATTTTCCTACATGGAGGTATTTTTTCCATTTTTACACCTACTAGATATATGTTGAAATACTTTATTTATTGGAAATGGGTTGTCTACCTTATATGTTCTCAAGTGACAATTTTACAAAGAAAAATGCAGTTGTGAAGTTACTTTGTTGTTTTTAGAAGTATGCAATTTTCATTTTTTTTAACACTTTTAGAAGAAAAACATTTGTGATCTTTGTAGGATTATGTAGATTAAGTTGCAGTAATATACATCTCAAATTGCATTTTTGGGGTGTAGTAGTGAGGCTTCTATTTCTATAATAATTATGAAGTCTTTCCAATGACATATGCAACAATAGATATGTAAATAAATTAAAATGAAATTTTTTAATATAATTAATTATAAATATATTAAAATAAAATTAATATAATTAATTATAAATATATTAAAATAAAAAATAATTGGAAATGAGAGAGTAATACATACTCTTTAACTTTCTTTTGCTGATCGTTTACAAGCATGATAAAAACATGCATGTTGCAAAAGTTGGCCTCTGCATCATATTTTTTTAATTAATATTATTATTTGTATAATCCTTAATGAAAACATTTAAAATAGATTGTTGCAAAGGATTGACTATCAATTTTACAATCAATTCTATGCATTGTGATCAATTACTAAAACTTATCATCAAATAGTATTGTATTTATGAATTTAGGCAGGTCCAATACCTTTTGGTTTGTTGTGCTAAAAATCAAACTTGAGACTTTTAACACCATGTCAAATTTAACTATTACTTATGTTGCAACCTACTATTCACCATTCTTTGTAAAGACTTACTCATGTTGCAACCTACTATTCATGATTGCTTGAAAAGACTTAAAGTATACAAACAAGTTGGATTTTTGTTATTGGTTTTTGTTTGAATGTCTCCTTTGAAGTATCAACTATGGAAGAACATTTTATTTACAAGCTATTGGATACCAACTTACTATCACTTCTTGCTTGATAAACATTTTGATTAGGATAGCATAACAGTCATATGTTAAGCTTTGCAATATATCTTTACTAGACAAATTGACACATGCCAACATGAAATCCTCTTTTACAACATTATTTGAGAAGAAATCCAATTCTATGTACCTAAAACTTATTTCAAATGGTACCATGAGAGTTAATATTACATTTTGTAGCAGGAGAAGGTTTGAAAAAAAAAAAAAAAAAAAAAAAAAACTTGGAAGCGTTGTAATATATATATGCATGAGTCAATTAATTTCTAATGTGATTTATTGCAGTATTCTTTGAAAATATTTAAATTTGTTTAATTAATATATTATTTCATTAGAAATTTTTCCATTGTCAACTTCAAAGTACAATACAAGTACTCCATGCACCTACACTATAGCCATACACACTTCTCCTTCCACTTTGAATATATCCAGACACTGCTTCTTCTTCTCCTGCCCTTCAATAGTTAGGTCAGTTTGCTTGCCAATGTTTGGATTGATGTATGTCTATGGAATCCCATCCAAAGAGCAAGCAATAAAAATGAACTGGTCCTCTTTCTTTTGTGGGTCAGTTCAATTGCTGATGTCTGGAGTGATGCATGTCTCTGAAACCTCATCCCAGGGAGCAAATGGATCCAAACTGGTTTCAATTTTATTTGTTTGTTGAATATTTGATATGAGAGAAGTAAAGCAAAAGTAACCACATGTTGTAGCAAGCATGCAAAGGACAAGTGGTCCCCAAAACAGTTCAATGCAATCCACCCACCACAAACTATGCTCCTTCCCCTTAATAAATTCATACCTTACAGAGGACCAAACTTGCAACTCCTCAAAAGAGAAAAACTTATTTGAATGACTTTCTCCCCCTTCCCCCATCCCTCATTTTCTTTTACATACATACATACATATATGTACTTATATTGATATAAATACTCTGCACAGCACAATATGAACCAGCCACAAAACCCAGGAAATGAACACACCCACAGAGAGAGCATGCAACCAGGTACAAGAAATTTGCAGGATATTTGACAACAAATAAACCAGGACACTTGCATACTCTGCAATTGTAGAGCAGACCCAGTTGTGCAGGAGCAATGCACGGTTGGCTATGGCTGAACCTGAACCACCCACTGTATGTTGTACCCTTGTGCTCCTCACAGCCTGTTGTTGGAATTTAAACTCACATTCCCTTCATGGGCAGCAAGGATGAGTCTAGCCTCCCTATTGCAAAGTACATTGTTCCCTTATAACAACACCATCCTGTGCACCTGGCTCTTGTATTCTGTATTGCAGGTTTGGGGTCACATCTTTGGATGCCTTACTCTGTTGTGCTCACTTGCCTTCTTATAAATTTTAAAACTTGTGGGTAGGGTATCAATGAAGGTGTGACACTTACTTTTCTTTTGTTGGTAACTGATTGCAATGGTGTCTGTTTTTCTTATTGCCTTTTCTGGGTATTTTTTGAAGAGTGGGAAACTTTTAATTGGATTTTGCCTTACTCATTAATCATCAACTAACTGTTTTTGGAGATTTTTATAGGAAATAAAAAGAAAAAGAAAAAAATAAAAAATAAAAATAAAAATAAAAAGGACAAGGGATGCACCAGTAAAACAATTCAAATCAGAATTCAGAAAGTTCTTTTTTCATCATTGATGTATTGTTTTTTATTTTTTTATTTTTTCATAGCAACATAGATTTTGGTGCCTTCTTTTGAGAGGTTATTTTTCTAAAATTATAACCAGAGGTTTTTTTACTTCTTTTTAACTAGTGCAAAAATATAGGAAACAAGCATGATTGTTTTTTCTCTTTTCTTTTTTCTTTTGTCTTGTAATTTAATAAGTTTTTAAAAAACTTGTTGATGCTCTTCAAAAATGCAGTTATTGAAGGCAAATACTGGACAAAACAAAAGACTAACATGTAGATATATCATAAATATACAAAGAGTCAACTTTCATTGATAAACCTTCTTGTTAAGCAATAAAATGATTTTTTTTTTTTTTAAAAGAAAATTTTGAATCTGTATAATGTTGATACTTGTCAATCATGTTTATGACTTGAACCAAATATATCAAGGCACATTTAGTAGACAATGATTCTTTAAACTGCCTTTTATTATATTGACTAAATAAGACCATTAATACTATCATAACTATTATCATTTTATTTTTAGATTCGATTTTCCAAGGTGATACATATTTTTTATAATATTATTTAATATTATAAAAATATAATATAATTATTAAATAATAATAATATGGACAATCTGAATTAAATAATTTAGGATGTAGGATCTTACTTCCATCATTATATATTGGAAGTGCAAGACATATGATAGAAATACTTCAAGACTATATGGTAATTATAAGGTTTTATCAACATCCTGATATTTTTATGACAATGACATCAAATCCAAGATAGTTTGAAATCCAAAATATATTGCTTCAAGGACAATGAGTAAGTGACTGGCCAAATTTGGTTGCTTGTATATTTGAATTCAAGAAATGTGCAATCATAGAAGATATAAAGAAGGGAGATGTCTTTGGTTATGTTGTTGCACATATTTATATTATTGAGTTTCAAAAGAGAAGTCTATCTCATATGCAAATTTTGATTTTTTTAGATAAAAAAAAATAAGTTTAGATGCATTGGAGATGTGAATCATATAATATTTGAAAAAATTCTAAATAAAGATAAAAATTGAGAGCTATTTGAAGTCATTCTATAATGCATGGTATATGGTTAATGTGAGATGCAAAATCCTCAAGCGCCTTGCATGGAAGATGGCTATTATACAAAGAAGTATTTAAAGCTATTTATAGGAGAAACAATAATAAATATTGATGGATATCCTCAATATTGACAAAAAAATGAAAGAAGAACATTTGAAATTTGAGGAATGGTTGTTGATAGTAAGGATATAGGAAGAAAGATATTATTTGAGACTTTTGTTAATTCTCGTTAAAGGTCTACAATCATTTGAGTACTTAAAGACTATTCATGGAATTTTCCATCCAATATTTAAAAGTGCATGTACAACTTTAAGATTGCTTGAAGATGATAGGAAGTAGTAACAATGTTTGGAAGAGGCATCAAAAATACAAACTAGATCTCAATTGAGGACGTTGTTTGATGTTTTGCTATTGTATAGAAATTCACTAAGTCTATCAAGCCTATGAAAAAGATTTTAGAAAAACATCTTGAATAATCTCAATGCTTGTTTATAAAGAAAAAATAGAATTAAAAATCTAACAAAAGAACAAATTAAGGATTTTGGACTTTTTTTATTGAATAAGATTTTGCAAGACTCCAATAAAACACTTGTAAAATTTTTTCTAATGCCATTACTAAGAAACAATTGGAATGCAGTAATTAATGGAAAATAAATTTATTATTGAAGAAAGAGTTTGGGATATTCAACAATTAGAAGCAAATTTGAAGAAGTATGTTTCATAATTGAATCTTTAACAAAGAAAGACATATGATAATATTGTGGTTTTTGTAATAGAAGAACATTGGCCAAAGTTTTTTCTAAATGAGCTTACAAGAACAACTAAAACTTTTATCTACAACACTTTGGTAACTAAAATTTGATTGATACAAAAGATTGTCATACGTACAATATGAATTATATTATATATAAATATTATAATAATTATTTAATATAAATATTTTAATTATTATGTAATACATATTATCGCATTGCTACTAAAGAGAGGAAGAACCACCCATTCTACATTCAAGATTCTAATATTTTGTAACAAAGACTTTTTTTTCTTCAATTACTAAGAATTTCAATCATATTAAGTTTATTTACCAAAATTTGCTTATTATTTGGAATGAAGTTCCAATGCAATATTGTTATTGTCTTGAGGCAAGTGATTGTTCCTATAAAGCTATTTGGAATATTAATTCTCCATTTAGAAGAGCTACAATAATTTTTGGTGGAGATTTTTGCCAAATATTGCTAGTGAATGTGAAAGAAATTTGAGTGGAAATTGTAGCAGCATCTTTTCAATGTTCAATACTTTGGTCTCAAATAAAAATCCATATATTAAAAGAAAATATAAGATTAAATTCAGAAGCACTTCAAGTAGATGTTGAGTTTGCTAATTAGCTTCTTCAAGTATAAAATGCACACACACATTGTATATATTAATGGTAGTATATTCAAATTCTTTATAGTTAGATTATCATTGATTAATATTTCTATTTTTCATTTGTCAAATTGAAAATGATACAAACTTATTGTCCAATAATGTAGTTACCCTTCTTGATGACATGATTTTTTATTAACAATTAATGTCTTTAGTTGATGTTATTTATCCAAGGCCGGTAGAAGATGGTGTAGCAAATGATGCCTTTTTAAGAGATAGAATCATTTTATTTGCACAAAATAATGATATAGAAGTTATTAATGAGAAGATTATGGCCATATTTCTTAAGAAGAAAGAATAAGAATATCTAAGCATCAATGAAGTTATTATAGAAGATTATATTAATAACAACAATGTTTATCTAGTCAAATTTATCAAGTTGCTTAATCCATCTAGAATGCCCAAATCAAGGCTTTATCTTAAGATTGAGACTTTGATGATGCTATTAAGAAATATTGCTCCTTGTCAAAGACTTTGCAATGGAACTCGATTGGTAATTATACAATTAACGGATTGAGTTCTTGAAATAAGGATGCTTGAAAGAAAATTTGTTGGAATCTTGGTATTCATTCTATAGATTACAGTAACTTCCAAAACAATAGAACTTCTATTTATTCTAAAGAGAAAGCAATTTCTAATCTATCTTATATTTGCAATAACAATAAAAAAAACTCAAGGTCAATCAATGAAGCATGTTGATTTGGATCTATGACAACTTATTTTTTTCCATGGTCAACTTTACATAGCACTCTCTCAATACATTTTCTCTTGTTCTATTAAGATCCTTCTTCTTAGAAATGGCAATTTAAATTCTACACTAAATATTATTTTTCCAAAAATTTTAATTAGATAAATATTAGTAATTTTTTTATATTTTATATATTTATTTATTTATTTATTGACTTTAATACATCTTTGATTGTCTTAATATAATTTAATATTATAAATATATATATATATATATATGTATATATTTCATAAGTAATTCCTTGAAAAAAATTAACTATTTTTATTTTTTGCAGCTTATCCATAATAATGACATGGGTTTACTTATCCTACTTTGTAGCTGAAAGCTCTATTGTGTATTTTATTTCTTTTTATTTATATTTTATTGTATTTGTATTTGAAAAATATTCTTTGACTCAAAAAATGCTTCAAAAAATGCTTCATTTGAATCACACTTCATTTGAATCACACTTTCCATGACAACAACACATATTTATCTAGTTCCTAAATAAACTACATGTGTAGAATATAATCTATCCCATTCTAATATAGGTAGTCTTGTGATACAACCAATTTCATGTCTACATCCACTATTTTTGTGTTTTCTTGCCCAACTCATATTCTATTCTTCTAAGCAATTCAAAAAGTGACCCACAATTGTATTCAGAGTTTGATTCTTCATCAAGATGGGAAAAGAGAGGAGATCTGAGAACTTGTATAGATTGGAGGGTGAAAAAAAATAATCATGCCAGTGGTTGGGGGTAACAGACCAAATGAAGAAGAAAAAGATAATGAAACAAAAAAAATAAAATCTAATGACCCTTCACTAATCCCAGAATTGTAATTTTAAACAGAATTTATATCAATTTCTAAAATCCATTAATTTTTGTTCATAAAATTAAATAATAATAATAATAATAATAATAACGCTTCAATAATGCAACTGAACGCCCAGAAAAAGGGAGAGGGAGACAAGGAGGTTGACAAATAAGCAAAAACAGTACACGACTAGTCATAACACAGAGTTCGATTCTGATTCACCAAGAGATCATGCAATTGTATAAGTATGATTAAAGTTTGAGTAAGATTTTTGTTTCAATACGAAAAATAATATATATATATATATATATATATATATAAGCAGTACCAATCACTTAACCGTGTCGGATTCGTTAAGGCCGAGGTCACTAAAAGTTGCGGGAGTGTTCAAATGGGGACTTCGAATCGCAACCCAACCCAACCCCCACCCCGCCCCGCCCCCGTCATCGCTGTTCCCACCGGGCAGCCCATGTGTGGGGTTTGAAGCGTCTGATTGTGTTGAAAGTGGCACCTGTCACCTTTCACACAATTAGAAAATCAACCGCGGGCCGCTGTCAGAGAATTCCTGGGCGCACGTCTGATGCGGCATCCCACATTTCCAGTTGCTGCTGACATCGAACATCTCCGCTCATTCCCTTTGCGGACATTTGCACGGATTCTATTGCAGAGTGTGGATACGGGCTTCTATGGGTGGCTCCCTTTGTAAAGAACTCTCTTCCCTGCGACGAGAGTTGAGTTCGGGGAACGACCGCTTTTACCAGAATGGGCCGTTAGGAGGGGGAAGTGGCACCGGTGTTGATTCGCTTGAGTTTGATCATCCGACGCTGATCGAAGTTTCCTCAATCGATTGTACGTGAGGAAGGATCAGCTGATTGAATGAGGATTAGTTGGTGGTGTGGAGTTTGAGAACGGAGAGACTTGTTAGAGATTGTGAGATTTAGTTGTGGTGCGTCTTAGAGGTGTAATACATTGCGACGGATTTCGGCCATGTACCACCGGGTGCGTTGCCTTGCGTTCCGTTGACTAGGGTGAAGAGGGTGTGAAATAGTAGGTGGGTGGGTGGTTTCATGTATTGGTGAAATCCTGAATCGGAGTAGGTAGTGTACGGGGTGTGCGAGCTCTGGTGCCGGCTCTGACACAATATGTGTGGTAGCGACGTGTCGAATGTGTAGTTGCTGTAGAGTTTGAAGGTGGGCGAGTACCGATCGGGGTTGAGTTAGCAGTTTGCAGTTCGATCATGTGATGCAGCGAGAGGGGAATGCGGCCGACAGATTGTGGCGATTGTAGTCTATTTTGTTCGTGTGCAGCTCGTTGGCATCTTCTTGGAAAGCTCGCCCGGGTCCACTGAAAAAGCTGCGGAGGGAAGAGCGGAGAGGTTCTCGGGCGGAGCTGCAATAATCGTTGTGCCAAACAAAGGAAATATCCTGAAATTGTGACCCTCAACGCGTGAGACCTGCATCGCTGGCACACTTATCAATGCAGAGCGTGCAGTTTCGACATTGCCTTTTCCCTGTAGTCTGCTGCTTTAGCGAATTTTGCAGCCATGTGCAAGTAGATTGCATGCTTGCTTAGATCAGTCAAACTGGAGCTTTGAGATGTTAGGCAATCCACGAGCTGGTGTTGGTAGGAGGTTCTGAGCATCGGTGCACTGTTGTTGACTTCATGCATTCGAGCATGAAAACCTGATTTGGAAGGAGCAATTATTCTCGAATTGGTTTCGCTGCTTTGGTCGGCATGGCGGGATGTTTATGTTCACATTCTCTGTCTTGTGTGGTCACATTCTCATCCAAGGAGGTAAAGCTTCGGAGTTTTCAATTAAGCTGTTGCACTCTCTCGGAGATTATGAAGCTGAGGATCACTTTCAAAAGTCTTCCAACACATACCCAGCACAGACGCAGCCATGCCGGAGGCCCCGGGGTTGTAGGGATTCATTCTAGCCGGGGAGAGGTTTTGGCTTCCAGAAGTTCACTTTCCTTGCAGTTGAGGAATGGGAATGCTCTCAACTCAAACTCGACGAAGTGCAAGGCACATGGAAAGGCTCCTGGTGTCACCATCGTCGATTCGTCAAGTAGCGTTAAGAAAGTAAATAACGGTGCAGCTCATGTCGTGGCTTCCAGAAAAAATGGGGCAATGTCGGGAAAGAAGACTGCCATCGTTTGGTTCAAGCATGACTTGCGAACAGACGACCATCCCGGTCTCGCTTTTGCGGCACAGTACGATCACGTGATTCCGCTCTTCATCTTCGACTCTTCCTTCTATGCTGGTAATTTCTCTTGCATAAAATCATCGCGATGTCGCAATTTACGGAGTGTTAACACTGAACACAAAGATGCAAAAAATATGTTAACGGTGTCCGATACAATCCGCATGTCATCGCGAGTTGACCTAGCACGGAAGTTGCGCCGCTGTTTTCCGAGGCGTATTGCATTTTGAATTCATGCACGCTGCTCCGTACTTGCTGCCTGTCGAACTCTCTGGTGACGATGATGATGTTACTATTCCGTTGCAGTAGAAGCTGAAGTAATGCGGAGATGCATGCAGGCTGTTCTGAGGAGCGACTTGCGAGCTTGTTCGATGCCGTGGCAGATCTCAGGCGTTCATTGAAAAGCATAGGGTCGACTTTGGTGATTCGAAGAGCGCGCGTTAATGATGTACTACTCAACCTCGCTCAAGAGGTGAGTATAATTACGATTTAGTTTTTCCAAATTGCGCTGTGTGTACTCAAGGGGAGTACCAGTTTGATTTGTCGCACATTGTTGGACCAGGTGTCATAGATGAAGGGACGTACCCTCTACTCTTAGTATTTTCTGTGAAAATGAGTACCCTTACATCTTTCGTTAAGCGTGATTTTTGCTACAGGTTGGTGCATCAACGATCATTGCTGAAGAGGAAGTAGAGGAAATCTGGCATGATCTCGTTGCATCTGTTTCCGCATCTCTATCTGTGAAATCTCTTTCTGGACAAAAAACTGAAGTAAAACAATGGAATGCTTCCTTATACGACGTCGAGGTAGGTTGCATTCTGCTATGTTACCTCTGTCTCATGCTTCGAGAAGGCAGTGGCTTTTTCACCCCAAGCGATTTAGTTTCTCTGCATCTTTGAAAACTGAAGTTGCTTTACGCACGTAACTATATTTACTGACGGTCACTTCTCGCCTTAATTTGAACTGAAATGCTCACCCCCGCTCTTTTCGCCAAATTATTTGAATGGTCTTTTTGTGGCTTGATTTGAAATGAAGGGTATAGAAGATCTGCCTGATAATTATAAAGAGTTCAAGCGCATGGGCCGCCGAGTACTCCCTCCTGTGAATGCTCCAACCTCAATTCCCGCATTACCTGCAGACATCGAGGAAGGTATCACAAGAAGTGCAACCTTGAGCTTATCTTTTGGTTCCGATGCTCTTGAATTATGAAATTTTCTGCTGGTCGAAGCTTCATGTCACAGGCATCTTGACCCGATGGTTCTTGGCTGACCAGGACATTTACCAAGTCTTAAAGATTTCTTGGCAAGCAGCAAGGCAAAATCAAAAGAGAACCCGTATTCCGAGGTACTAAGGGCTGCTCAGACCCAACCGGCGGAGAGCTTGCTCATGGGCAAACCGCATGTCACCAATGGGAATGTTCAACAGGTGACCAAGGCAAGTAATAGTGTCGCAAGGGCGTTGATGAATCTCTTGAATAATTTGGCAGAAGAGAAGCCGTTTAATTCAGTTTGGGAGCACACGCAACCTAAAGACGCAAAAGTGGAGATCAGATCGAATGAGGTTGGTATCATTAGGGGGGGAGCCACCGGAGCCTTGAACATGTTGCACGTTTACATCAAAGCGCTGGAGACAACGCTCAACCCTGTGGAAGGGTTAGTTCTTTACCAGAATCTTTTTTATTGGACGGTATTGTTCCTTTATTCTTAACTTTCACCTGTGTCCCAAGTGCGTTGACTTACTATGGCAGTGTGCACAGCAGGATGTACGAGCATATACAGGAACTTGAGAAAAGGCCAGGAGCTTCTTTTAGAGCGATATTCAATAGGGCCTTAGAGCTTGGTACCCTTTCACGTAGAAGAGTGTACTACGAAGTGATGAAATGTGAACGAGAAAGAGGAGGCGGCCTTATTTCACCCTTTGGACTTTCTACTTTCACAGCCTCCGCTGCTCTTCAAGATGTCAAGTCGATAGAGGTGATTATTCGAACTGAACTTCTGTGAACTTACTAGGAATGCTAGGAGAACTTCGCTCTACTAAGCCTCACGGTGCTTTGTTGAATGTCTGGTTGCTTATGTAAAGGAGTTTTTGTTTTCGTTTAAGTTATGGTTTTTTATTCAACCTATATGTTTTTCTCTTATGGTATTTTCACTGTGTATTTGTCAGTGGTATGAATTGATTCAAAGGAAGAGCCGGGACCAGGGGTCTGAAAATGGTCTCAAAGTATGCTCGTGGCGATGGCGCGGATACCTTATCCAGGTGTTAGTTCTGTTTGTTTTTCTTGTAGTTTCTGACGTCAAGGTTTTAACAATTGTTCTCGCGGTGGCTGCGGGAATCGCTCTTGAAGAAACTTAGATCTATTGCTTGACAATGTACTCATCATTCAATTTTCATGTACTGACTTTTGTGCTCTATTTATATGATAGTATGAAATACAAATCTGAGTTTTACGTCTCTAACTGTCCCAAGACGTTGTAATGAATATGATAGTACTCTACTTCTGGAGATGAAGGTCCGGCAGTAGTGCTTATACATGGATTTGGCGCATTTTGGGAACATTACCGAGACAACATTCGAGGCCTCGCAGAAAAAGGTAACCGCGTATGGGGATTGACTATGGTGGGATTTGGGCGATCCGAGAAGCCCTCGATCCCTTACACTGAGCTCCTTCTGGCAGAGCTTGTGAGAGATTTCATCATCGAGGTTGTTAAAGAGCCAGCGACTCTCGCAGGCAACTCAATCGGAGGTGAGCAGAGTTCTTCTCAAGTAGTCAAGGTCATCAAATCCAGCAAGAGGAATAGAGGGGTGTTTCAGTTACTCCTTCGCATCGGATTGTTTTGGTGCATCTGCCTTTTGAGAAAAGATCTGCAACCACGTTGAGAGTGCTATCTTTCATTAAAACTCTGTATGAATCCTTACGCAGGATACACAACGTGTGTGGTGGCGGGGCTGTGGCCGAGTATAGTGAGATCTTTAGTACTCCTTAATTCAGCAGGACAAGTGGTCCCTAACTACACGTCCCTTCAGTATCGAAAGGTGAGATTCTGATGCTCCATACCTTTCCTCCTATGCCAATGAACTGTGAATAAAACGATGCGCAAATAGCTGTTGCATTGCTGAAGCAATTTGCAGGAATGTGATATAATTTCTTGTTTGTTTTGCAGCCGCGAGAGAAATCCCTTATTGCTAAACGGGGAGCGCATGTCCTGCTAATATACTTGCGACACTTGAGCAATCGCCTACTGAAACGATGCTACCCGAATGTACGGTTTTGACAAGCGTGTTTCAACCTTCTTGCCACAATCACGCTTTCTGTATTTTTCTGGATAATTCTGTTGTGCTTTTCTATTTCACCCTTGACTGATGCATTCTAGATTCTACACTTGTAGACGAGCTTTTCAACTCCGATCACGTCCCTAGGAAACCGTTTTGTAACAGTTTTGTCAGTTTTTATGGACTGTGCAAGCTTTCACTCATCAATGGGTTGCGTACGGTTGCAGAGAACAGCTAGAGTGGATGCTTGGCTACAATCTGAAGTGATGCGACCTGTATCCTGTCTGCACTCCTAGTTATTTTTACTTGTGTATTCGATTCTAATTTTAAGAGTGCATAGCAACAATTTTGTATGCCAGATGATAAAAATGATGCGACACTGTGGTGGTTCCATGTACCTGAAATGTAAAGACCTTGACTGTGACCAGTCCTTCGATCCTGGATCTACGGCTGTGCTTGAGAGCATCTTTCATCTTAATCCACCTTTGCCCTTGAACTTTTACATTGATCGATACGTTGGTGAGGTTTTAGTCATTCAGGTAACGCAGATCTCAGGCTCTGTTTTTTTGAAGCGTTTTTTTAGGAAAACTAGGTTTCGCATAGTTAACTAGGTTTTTGTTCTGGTTTTCACGACGCTGAACATGTGCAGGGTGTAAGAGATCCCTTATACGATGCAACGAAGCGAGCATCTGTGCTGCAGGCTTACTGTGCTAACGTCACAACGCGACTACTGAACGCTGGCCACTGTCCACACGATGAGGTTCCAGATGAAGTGAATGCGTTGATCCATGATTGGCTTAGACTTGCAGGCACTGAACCAACTATGGACACTAGGGCTCTTGAGCTACAGTTCCTTAGTAGTGAGGACGCTGCCGGCATTGTCGAAGGAGATTCTCGCCTCATTAAGTCAGACTGGTTTTCCTACTTCAGCCGTTAACGGAAATATTTGAGGCAATGATCGTTGTCTCTTCTACCACTGTAAAGATTCAATGTACTTGCTAGACTCTACAATTTGGTTTCCAAATAGCATTGTAATTATCAAACATTGATGCCGAACTGTAATTTATAGAAACACCTTAATAGAGACATACAATGCATCGGTGATATACGATTGCTGTTGCTAGTGTGCGTAATTCAACATTTGTATCTACAATTACATTGACAGTAAAAGCAAATGACTGTATGTAGATGAGTTCATCTGTATTTATTTGAAAATCAAGAGAACTTCTGGTTATTCGTCAGTTTTCTTAGACCTTCACATGGCGGTACCCCTTTATTTCTGTTTCTACAGCTCTTTTTCATGACGCAGTACAGGAGTGTAACCCTTTGAAACACTTCGCATTGAGCAGTGGCGATGACTGAAGGTAAATTGATATATGGCGTAAGTCGCGCACCATCTTAGTCTCAGTCTTCGTTTTGTTGTGCACTGCATCGTATGATTGTGCTTGTCCCGCCCGAATGACGCGTTTGAGCTTGTAAACATGAGTTCTCATGCTGCTTCATTGCCATATTTCGATTATTTGTGACTGTTTATCCAACAACTTTACGTTGCGTCAGTCGTTAACAAAACTAATATTATCTTGAAAATCAATCTAAAAATGTTTACACATGTCGATTGTTGGGTCAATTTATGCAGTTTAAGCTTCATGAATCATTGGAACGGTCACTTGCTTGTCTTAATAATAAAATTTTACTCGAAGAAATCGTGTTATAATTGAATTCTTAGAGGGGAAGCTCTTCTAAAGAGTCCTCTTTCACATTTTTAGAGTACAACTTTGCTGATTTTCAAGGCTTTCCCGAGTTGCGTTGCAGAGGGACGTTGACAATCGAGAATGGTAGTCTTTGGTGAGAAAATCTTCGGAAATGGTGTAATGGAGGCGCATTGCTTAGATACGGCTGTGATAGAAAGTGAGTTTGTGGCACCGAAGTTTCTAAATCTTTGATAGAATTCGGGGATGATATCTAAAAGCCCATCCTTACTCATGGTATTGGAGGGGCTTCATATGCCTTGTGTACCTGTGAGGGTTGTAAGATGTTGCAGCTGCTGTAGCTGTCAGCCATGACAAGCTGGTAAAAACTGTAGAAACGTCTTTTCAAAGTCTTTCAACGGGCCCGACAATAAAAATGCTTCTGTTGATGACCTATCGCTTTCAACCAAAGCAAGTTTTGAGAGTGATAGGTCATCTGCAAAAGTCAACTCTAGATCTTCTCCAAAAATAGAATCGGCTTAAATCTCAAATTGGTTACATTTATTTTATTTTATTTTATTTTCAGTACAATTTTTTTGCCGGTAGATATTCGCAAAGTTTTAGTGCATCTATACATTACAATGCACAAGATAGTAGAGTTGTCTAGCGTGTTGACCCAGATGATGTGGCTGGCACACAAAATCAAGTCTTTCATTCACTCTTGTTCAGAGTGTGCTGCAAGTTTAAGATTAGAAATCAATAGCCATGGAACTTTCCGAAATGAAGAGTTGTTTCATCTATTCATTGATGCTCAAAGCTTCATGCCAATTTCAAGGAGTGTAAAGTTATTGATGAGGTCGAAATCATGTTTCTGATAACGTTTATGCAAATCGGTGAAGTTAAGTGGCAGGATTGAGAGTCTTGTCTTCATTATTGACCAATTTCTGACCTGTTGTTCGGATATTTACGTATGAGCAGCTTTAGCGGAGTATGAAACGTGTTTTAATATCGAAAAACACAAAACACATGTAGTGCTTCACAATTGAAATGGTCATAGCTTGGTGGAGTATTAGAACTATATCTTTCCATTGTTTTGAATATTAATTCAATTGTACTTTGAATCAGGAATTCTTTCCAGCTTCTTCGCTGCAGATATGAATTTTGATCAGCTTCATTGAGCCTTCAAACTCACTGGTGGAAATCGCTGACATGTTTACGTATCAATTCTTATCAAGCTTGTTGAATTTTTCAATACAACACTAGACTTCGAATCACACGTGAAAGGAGGTAAATTGTACAGACACAATTGTAGGTTGAACTTAATTTTAATGTATAGATTTTGAAGGTGGAAGAGAGTGAGCGAGATACTATACAATGTTGAATGTGAATTTTTGAGAAAAAGAAAAAAGTATTAAAGTGTTGCATTTGATGTTGACTTTATCATCAATCAAGTATCACAGGAGCCGGCAAACAACGAGAGTGGCAATGTTCCTGAGGTCCCATGTCGAGGGTACGCTGAGACCGACGTGGGCACACGGTAGAGACGAGACCGACAGTAACTGCCTCGATGCAGATTGGCATAGCGAAGACACCGGGGCACGGGCCTAATGGGATCACTCTTAGTCCTCGACTCATAGATGTCGCCCGTGCTCTAAGTGCATGCACCGCATTGAACCATGTCCATACGCGACTGACACGAAATTTTGTAGGTTCCGTGGCTGCATGGCAAGCATTACCCCGCATTTTTCTCTTGTCCCCTGAGCTAGATGCCACTTTGTTGTTTTTTATTCTGTGCTTTTATACTGGACCTTTCTCCTCCGTCGTTTGCAGATCGTCAGCTCTCGCTACGCTGCCCGAATTCTTCTATGCCAGTTTGGTACTGGGTATGTGGTCAAGTGTCAGATACCGGATGGTCCGCGATGACCTTGGAGATGGCATAAGGGTTTTGCTCACGGACTCCTGTTCTCAGATGTATGGTGCTCAAGGCTTTATTGCTTTGGAACTCGGACGTCAATTTAATTTTACTGAGATGTCGACAAATGATTGTTTGGGAGTGCGGTGTATGAGACAAAAGGATAGGGTGGGATTGTGCGAATGTCGAACATGCAATCGGTGTCCCATATCTTTCAATCTGCGATTTTGGAGGTGAACAGAAGCTCTTACGTCGGCGGATTTGCGCTGATGGACTGATTATCCTGGTTGCATCGAGTTGGGTTGTTCCCTGTGTCTCCTCGTCTGTCACAGCAGCTTGCCGCACAGGCAAGTTTTCGGATCCCTTTGAATAAGAGTCACTCGTCTATGCAGGTTTTTGCCTTTCTTACACTTGTCTGTGCTATCTGGTTGGATTCTCTATGTGCGCTCTTCTGCTTCTGAAATGCTCCTACGGGCGAAGGTGCTGTTCTGTCTATCCGAGAACGCTTGTTTGTTTCCAGTACAAGAGACCGATTGAATGAACCTATATATACACCTGTATCTTTTTCAATGTAAATATTAAGGCTTTTGCAGACTAAATTGCGTGAATAATGGAATGAAGATATCGTCGCATGAATGAGAGATGAAACTATCTTCAAGGGTGTGACTTTATCCATAGGTTGAACTCTAAGTTAAACTACGACATGAAGTTGGCTAGATAAACTTATATACTAACTACACTCTCCTGGGTTGTCTAATATTACTCCAATTAATAGTTGATGATGCTAAGATTTGATGTAGATCAAAATTCCCTCTTTTACCAAGAATTGGATAGTTTGTGAGTAATAAATCAATAAGTTTCATAGTTAAGATATTAGTGTTTGTACTTTACTTTGGATAAAGCTTAAATTAAGACATCAATTACATGGTCTTTGTAGGAGTAAAGATGAATCTTATTTTGTTTTGATTTATTCTTTAGTATAAAAATAATACCTTAATTTGATATGATTAGATTGATTATAGAATCTTGGATTTTCAATAAAGACAATAGAAGATTGGTTGTTATAAAATGAAGTTATTGCATTTGCAACTTGATATCTAATTTTAATTAATAGAAATCTAATCCAAATATTTGTTGTTGCTATTATTGCTATACTATATTTAGTTTATATAGATGATAATGCCATGGTAGAGGTGGGCAAATGTGCCAAGAATTAGGAATTTGAAGAACAAGAAACAAAAAAGAGAATAATACTTCAATTAATTGGGAAAGTGGAATTGATGGTTGTCTTTGAATGTAGGGAGGTTGCATGTAGAAATCTTGTAATCTAGGTTGGAAAGAGGATCGATACTCTAAGAGAGGATTAAGGCTAGTCAAGACAGGGCACATTTAAATGGTGCTATAGGATGGTGGCATTATGTTGGACCAAATCCTCTGAGGTAAGAAAATCCTTATTATTTATTGCTAAATTTTGTAAGAGTTGATTCAAAGTTTGAAGTAGCTAATCACAAAGAGGGTTCAAAGGGGAATGTTGTTGGTTGAGAAGAAGACTTGTAGTTTTGAGAATTAGTGCAAAGTAGCCATGAAGGCAAAGACTTATTATTACACTAAAATTTGATTGTTTCAAGTAAGAGTAATTATGCAAGAGTTGTTGGAATCTATACAAAGTGCCTTAATTGCAAAATTTGAGGGATAGACAAGAAGTGTTGAATAACAAACATAGAGATTTGACTCTAACTGTACTTAAGTAGATAAAAGTACTATGGTAGATGACATATGACTTTTGATAACTTACTAATGCATTAGATGCTTAATGAGTGTTAAGATATGTGAGAAGCAGATTGTAGAAAAATAGTTGGGCCTAATATTAATTGTTGCAAGTTGAATCTTAGTGGTTGGTAGCTTACATGGTGACAAGTTATATAGTATTTAAAATCAAGCTAAAAGCCAATGTGTAGGGCAATTCATGCTTATAAAGAAGCTACATATGTGCAAGTATTTAGTTATTCAAATTTACTAATTAAATGACATATTTTTCCACAAAGAAGTGGAAGTTTTGGTTATTTAAGTCATATTCTTCAATGGTTTGTATTGTCCTAATACTAGGCAATAGAATACAAGCGAGAAGCATTGGCCAAGAATTTTTTTAAAATGTTGTAATTTTTTTTGTAAATTATATAAAGAAAGCTTTTAGTTTCTTTCCATCTTTATTGTATTAATTTTAAGTGATGTATGTGAATGTTATGTATATGAGGAAGAAGGGAGAAAAGAAAGGTCATATTTGATTTTTTTTTTCTTTAAGCATTTAGTTGTATGGACTTTCAAAAGTGCAAAAAGAAATTGTGTCTACTTAGTTATTTATTGACAGATTGTTTAAATCAAGAAGCACTTCAAAGATATGACAATTTAGTTGATCAAAGTTGGATAATGGCAAAAGTAGAGCTTGATCCAATCAATTATGATTTTAAGTAGTACTTGAGTTTTGGTTGAGATTACACCATGAGCCTAGTCTCTTAGATTTTGTTATTAGTTGAAAAAAAATTATAAATAAAGCATTGCCTTTGCATGTTTGAGAGTGGTGGATGAGACTTGATTGAGTAATCAATTGGTAACTTGTTGGTGTAAATGATCAATTAAGAGAT